ATGTGATTAGGAATAAATTATTAATTAAGACAGTGTGCCTCTGATTTAATTAGAAGCATTTTTTTTCTGTAAGGCTGAAAACAGTCATCATTCTCTGGACAGCTTTTTCTTTAAAGGCTACAAAAGCTAACAAACAGGCCTATCACAATCAATAAATTTTATCTGACAATGAATTGCTTTACAAATAAATGCAATTAAAAATTTAATTGTCTTATTTTATTGTATTGTATGCAACCATTAAAGTACAAGCCTAAACTGGTTAAATTAGCTGATCTTACTTTCTAGCTATCCATACTTCCTCCTGAAAACAGATTTAAGCCAAATCCCATTTCTTTTTTTTCCCCTACCCCTTGTTTTTGAATGTCACCTTGCCCCTTTGAACTGAGCTACAAGGACTAGTGGTTAAAAGCCTCCTCTATGAAATGGGACAACCTCAAATACAAAAGAGCATTACTTTATTAACAGGCTACTATCAGTGCTCTGTAGGCGACCCTGCCAGTCTGCAGTGATAGCAGAGGAGGGTAAAGTTAAGCAGCCTCACTGCTGGGCGTTAATTACATTTAGGGAATCATATGCCTTCAAAGAGGGGGCTACAACAATTATTTATTATTATTATTTATTAGCTAAAGTCAGCTATTTGATAGCTTCTTGTTTGAAATTTCCTGTTCCACCTTAAATGGTGCAGCAGTTCTGATGCCTGAGGTGCCAGAATGTAACTGCTGCACCATTTAAGGTGGAACAGGAAATTTAGCAAGCTAGTTAATGAGTCATCAGCATACTATTAGCGTTTTATGTGCTTGTTCTGAAGAAAAGGACATTGAAATGACATTAAACTTTATAGATAATACAACTGTTATTGTAATTTTTTAACAGAGAAAATGCTCACATGTGGGTTTCTTTGGTTGTTTGCGCAGCCATCTTGCCTGTTTTTCTTTTTTTTTCTCATTTGGAGTCTGAAAAACCTCCGTTTGGAGGGCCATGTAGCCCTAACAATTTGCCCTACCCCTCTATCTCAACAAGAATCGGGACATCCTAAACCTAGACGTGAGCACAAAAAATAGGGGTAGAGCTAAGTGGTAGGGGTAAGGGGTGATGGGATTGGGCCTTAGTAGCTTCCAAATTTGAGCTCAAATAAACAAATATTACTCACCACTGCCCTCTAAAGGTGTTAGAACACAAAATTAGAACTTCTAATTCTAATTTTTAGAACACAAAATTAGAATTAGAATTAGAATTAGTTCTTTCTGAAATACCCATGATGTGTGCCAATAAATGCATTTTCTGCTTTTTTTCAGTTACATAAATTTGCCTCAGCTCAGTGAAGAGGAGTTGGATTCTGTCATGGACGCAAAATTTGGCACAACACTGGCAAAGACTGTCAGAGGAGAAAGAACAATCTTACAGGTACAGTAATATTACAGGATTTTATTGCAGGAGGTTACAAACTTTCAAGGCTTATTTGGCGTGAGATTGATAGAGATTGACCAAACTTTTTGACTTGAGATTAATTAAGTTATTTATTATTAATTAATTTATTTTTTAAATATTTATTATTTATTTATAACATCAGCAGGTATGTTCAGTCTGCTGTAAGATTTTTGGTATTTTCCCATTTGCCGTGAGAGTTGCATCCTTGCATCCCTTTTAGCTCTTGCCAACGAGTAAAGCCAGTACTCTTGTCTGGTCTCTTGCTTGTCTTCTTTGCTTCCTCCGACAGCATCCTCTTCGATCTCTTGGCAGCCTCTGCCATGATGTCCATACTGGAATAACTGAGCTAGCTAAAGACCCATAATTCTTGGTTGGTGTGTGATGTGGCGCTGTAAGCATTATGCAGTTCTCGTGAGAAGTGCATCTATATCCACTTCTCCAAAATGACATAGCGCTTTAGGCATCGCGGACCCAGAGTGGCAACGACAGAAACGCCATTCTCCCTATTATAAGACAGTGTACCATCAAAATGATTTTAAAGCTGTTATTATAAGGTAAAACTGTTACATAATGTTGCTTTAAAGAATTGCGATCAGCTGGGATACTAATACATATGCAGATTTTTCCTTTAATTGTAGACCAAGAAAAATAAATGATTCTTTGAAAGCTCCTCATGGTGATAGTGATGCAGGTTTGTTTTACACACAACACTGGGACTAAGAATAGTCATGTTTTAAGCATGTTTTACAGGCAGTTAAGGATAGAGTAGTTTTTCAGCTGTACATGTGTGCACATTGTAACTGGGTGTTTAATCGAATACTTAAGTTACCCACTCTACATGTGGGAGATCAGAGTTCAAGCCTGGTGGGGGAAAAGCATTTATTGGGCTTCTAATGATATATCCCCACGAATCTAATTACGTCAGTCTGGTGCTGCATATGTGAGGAAGTTTTATCCATTCTGTCATTGCAGCATTTAATGGTGCAATGATAGAATGGAAACTCATTGTGACAACAATAAAAATGTTTTTATCATGCAGATGTAGACATGAACCACTGTATTTCAAGTCCAGAAGGGTTAGACAGAAGTAAAAGGAGTTGAAACCTGTCACACTGTGATTAAAAGGTGATTAAATTAACCAACTATCACATCATCACTGCAAGTTTTCAGTAGTTCCACATAAACTTTTACTGTGCTGACTCTAAGGCTGTCTCTGACGTTGTCAAAAGCCACTTCAAAAGATATCTTTACATTCTAGTAAAAAAAAAATAAATAAAAAAATAAAAAAATCTGCCACCAATACAAAAGATAATACTGATTTATGCCTCAAGTAGCATCCCCAAAGAGAAGGGTTTGTTTGAAAGCCCCTTGTAAAAGATGCTTAAGAAAACAATTGATGGTGATGAAAAGAACTGATATCACTTATCCACCCAGGCCCTAACTGTTGTGTAATTGGACATGTAGGCCTAACCAAGATTCAAGATTTCAAGTGGTCTTTTTTTCAAGCACACATGCAGGAAGTCCAAGAGGGACTTCATATTTAAACGCTACTGCATGTCTGAAAATCTTGCCAGTAGGTAAAGCAAGGCCCATTTATAGTGGCAAAAGGGGTGAAGTCAGCTTTTAGAAGAAGCTTTTAGAGCCACCAGTTATATTATAATAATCTCTTTAAAAACGTAAAGTGTTAAGTAATTTGTTTAGCTCTAATTCTCAAAATATTTTGTCATAAGTGTTCCTTATTTGTTTAGTCACTTTTATCATTTCCTTCAGTGCAAGGTTCTGCCATTAGTTGGCAAGATTTTATGCCACCATGGTAAAAGAGGATGCCCTTCCTAAAGCTCTCGGGGACCTCTGTGTACACCTCTATTACCAAGTACTTGGTAACTGACAAGGTGTCCAAACTTTTGCACATGCTACAAGTACAATTTTTTTTTATTAAAATCAAAAAAAGTTTATCAAATATAAAGGTGAATTAACATTTGCAGAAAATTTTATTTTTGTAGTTTGCTGCAGAATGGTTTACTTCTTTTCACTTTGAAAATTAACAAAATATGTAATTTGTTCCAGAAAATTTGTATATGTTTGTAAATTTTAATCTAGCTGGTTGTGTGTAGAAATGTCAAAAGACAAAAATGTAAATACTGAATTGAAGAACAGAAGTTACAGATATTCCAACAGTGTACCAGAGAACTTAATAAATAAGATGACATTGAAAAACAGATAAGCACTCATACATATTCATATTAGGTAACATTTAATGTTCATTCTGAATCAGTCACAAATCACATTGTGTGGAGAAAATAATCCTACAAATACTCCCTCAGATAATCTTAAATTAGACAAACTGTGCTACACACTTTTACAAATATAGGTACTTAAATGCTTTTCTGGCTTAGACATATGGTTCTAGGGGAAAAATGAATGGGTATAGCACCTTTACATTATGTGGAGGTTCTCTGGACCTTAAAAAGTTTCTTCACACTGACACACTCTTTTCAAAAAAGTTTTTAAGAACCATCTATAGAAAAGTTCTTTAGGGAACCAAAGTGGGTCCTCTAAGGAACTGCTTCAAAGAACATTATTGTTAAGAGTGTGGATGGATAGAGACACCTATATTATGTGTTCTGAGTACTGCTTTCAATACACTTTATTATTACTTGCTTTTATCTACCTGTTTTACTTCCCTTTTAGTCTTCTTCTGATATTGCAGTACAGTTTTGTATGCTTGGAGCAGTGTTTAGCTAACCTCCCAAATAATGAGAAATAAACTCTACCAGGTAGGCTCAACATTTGCAATTGCTGAAGGCTGTAGCTTTGGGTTTAATTGATGGAAAATGCTGTTGGTAGTCATTCTAGTGCCCCCTAGTGGATGTGAGCATCAATAAAAATATATCTTCACTGAAATTTATTTTGCCAGAAAATGAACAGCATAATGCCAGTATACTTAGTTACATGAGCAGTCTTTTTTTCCTTTAGCATTTCCAAATCACTGTTTTCATTTGTCTACTACATTTTGCACACCTAAATGTTTAATTATGTTTGTATTTGTATTAAAAAAAAGGCATATGTGTTTATGTAGTTGCTGTTGGATGCAGATAGAATGAGCTGACACATGAAATGCATGAAATGTGTCAAAATATTATGTTCGCTCATTTCAGTAGATTTCTTGTTGTTTAAAAATTAAATACACATTTGTTGACAAAAAAAAAATTACACATATCAATATTTGGATTCCTGCAGAAAATGCGTCATGCTAACATCTTCATGAAGAACCAGTAGCTATGACGTCACTACATGCTATTTTTAGCAGCTTGCTTCATTATTACTGAACAGCTTCCCTGCAGTGATACCAACATGATGCTCAATTCATTTATCACAGCCAGACACTTTAAATGGTAATCACAAGTAAGGGGAATGAGTGTGTACATGTGAGCTGAACTGAAACTGCTGCTGCAGTATTAAGTTTTCTTATCTAATACTAAACATTAAGCACTCTGTTCCTCAAAAACCAAGCAAACATACTAATTACACATAATGCTGTTTCCACACAGCACACAGTCAGAGACAGGGAATGCAAAGAATTATTATTTTATTCAGGTACTGATCTGGTAAATGGAGGCGTCCATGCAATACACAACAAACAACAGATTCAAGAAAAACAAAATGTATTGATCAATATTTTGCTGCTGTTGGAATAAAACCTTGTATCTCCAAACTGATAATTTACAGGAAAAGGAAAAAACATACTTTATTTTTTATGCAATGTAATCAGACTTTTTTCCAAGTCATTCTAGGTCATTTTCTTTGAGCTGTTCATCATGCAATTTGCAGACAATGTCAAAAGTAAACAGGCATTTTTAAATTATGTCAAAAACTGAAACAGGACAAAAATGATGATACAAGGTTTTGTACCGACAGCAGCAATTTGCCACTGTCAAACTGTCTGAAATCTATATTACTGTATTATTATTGCAGCGCTTAGAGTGTGCTAAGCTTCAAGCAGTCACATAAAATTAACAATAAATATTTAGTTAACTCTCCCTGTGAACAATAAGCTAACATCACTGTGTATCACAATGAATACACAGATGCATGTTATCTACAGATGGTGAAAAATTTAAGGAAAAAACTAAATAAATGAGTGGAGATCATACAATTATAAAGCATCGGTTCCTACTGATGAAACATTTCTATCCTGAAGCGAATGGGTGACAATGCCCTCAACCACATGGTATGAGGGGTCACTAAATGGTATGAGGAGTATGAAAATTATGTAAATCATATGCTATATCTATCTATAAGTTACACTGAAGCTGTTCTAGCAACTTGTGGTGGTTCATCATCTTAATGAACTGTTTTTTTCCTTTAATATGTCACTTGTCTGTATACAAGTTGTTTTATATGCATGTTTAAAAGAAGATCTGATTTACAGAGCATAAGTTTCAACTCCTTTCTGAACAAACAGAAATGAGTAGTCTTTTGACGAGTAAATCTCTCTCCTGCAGTCGGAAGCCATCGCCCAAGGCTTTCAACCTGAAACTTATTCATCGTTATCCTACAATGATAGGAAAGGTCTACAAAAACAAACAAAAAAAAAACCTAATGTGAGCACTGAAATCTCATTCTCTTGTCCAGTATAACAGGCCAATATGGCTGTGAGGCCAGTAACCATGCAATTAATTTAAAATGTATTTAAAATAGTCCTATTAAAAAAAACACAAAGCATTAAAATTTTAATAATTAACAACTCAATGTAATAATTTAAATTAGCTCTGCAGCATAATATTGCCTTAACAGGTCACATAATTTAATCATGGTCATTGTCATAAGTGCGAAAAAACTACTGGACCACCAAATTACTGCAGTCCAAAAACCAGACAACACAGACTTCAGAATACAGTTTTGCAGTATTTTTTACAATTTGTAGTAATCTTCTTAGATTATTTAGCACTGAATGGATGATTTGAATACAGTGATTTTCAGGGCATTCAGTACATATGTTTGATTATAAACAACATCCATTTTAATTTTATTATATAACCTTTGGTTATCATGTTTTGGGTCACACACTGTGTCATAACATTTTTGTGCAAAATTACTGATTCATGGCATTTTCAGTAACCGAAAAGGAAACCGTTCCGCAATATAACATTTACAACATTCCATAAGCCAGTAATCAATCAAGTAATCAAGCAATCTCTCTCTCTCTCAGATTATCATTGTACCCGGTCAATTCCATTCCTGTCAGTTTTAGGACTGTTGCACTCCACCTTCTCTCAGCTTTAACTCCTGGTTGTACCTTTGACAGAAAGAAAGGGTCATCCACAAATCCATAAATAAAAAAAATACAGCATTGAAATACACATCTTAACAGAAACTAGGCCTTATAAAGAATGCAGTTATATTGGTCCAGCTGATAAATGGCTAATGTTTACAGAGTCTACGTGTATAATGATGGCTCAAGCCATTCTGACAAGTCAATTTGATTTGTCTGTAATTCCAGCCAGGTTTTTAATCATCATGACCCCCCAAATCAAATGTGTAAATGTAAATTTGATTTATTATTTTGTTGAGGAACTTAATCTAAGAAGTGTGCAGATACAATTATACTCTCCTGTAGTTGCTTTGTGTCTCAAGGCATGAAATACAATGAAGCAGTTTGCCTGTTCACACCAAGTGAGCAGGTGTAGTATGATATACTTGCTTTCAACTAAACCAAAAAATAAAAATAAACATTTTCCACCATAAAGTGGTATATGAGGATTATGTGTGAAACAAAGATCAATGTGCAATTTAATTGTACAACCTCATTTTCAAAAAAGTTGGGATGCTGTGCAAAATGTAAATAAAAAAAAATTCAATGATGTGCAAATAAAGTAAATCATATATTTCACTGAAAATAGTACAAAGACAACATATCAAATGTTGAAACTGAGAAATTTTATTGGTTTTTCAAAAATATTTGGCCATTTTGAATTTTATGCCAACACGTTCCAAAAAAGTTGGGACGGGGGCATGTTTTCCTCTGTTCCTCTTAACAGTTGAATCATTAACATTTAGCTGATTTTAAATTAAGTGCATTAGCTAGCTAAGCTACATTGCCACCTTGACTCAAGAAGCATTGCAGTAGAGAAGAGCGGGTTTTGTTCCACATCAGAAGAGCGCTTCCGTACTGCTGTAACTAAAGTATGTTTCATAGTTTTGCTCCTCGCATGCTTCTTTCAACAACAGTCCCTGTAGCAGTGACAGCAGGAATTACATCTATGGCTAATCGAATGAGCTCATTTGTGGAGCTTTATGTCTTCTTGGAGTCTTTTGTTTGACTGGTTGAGCTGTAGTTGAATGTCCTCTAAAGCCAGACATACACTGTGTGATTTTAGGAATCTTGTTCTTTGTTGACTCGCACTGCTCTTACAGACTGCTCTGTCTATGAACAATTTCAGATAAAGATATTTTATTTAAAACAACATGCTGGACTCCGAGAACTGAGGTAACACACTGACAAACTGAGCAGTGCTGCCAACAGTGTGCACTGAAGCTAAAACCAGGCAGTGATGTACACAATAGGACAATAAGTCTCTCTAGAGCCTATTTTTTAAACTACTAAGCTTACTTATTCATGGCTACCTCTTTATTTATGGTTTTTTTTATAAACAGAGGATTATCAAAGTAAAAATTTCAATGTACAGTCTAAATACTTGTTTTGTGCATATGGCACAAAAAAACCCTGTATTAAAATTTGTACATTGCTATTCTATTTAATCAAACTGATTCAACATAGATGGACAGCAGTAGCCAATGTTGACTTTTTCGTCTCCATTTATTTAACCCACATGTCTCCACCTGTATCGGTGAAGTGGTTGTGTTTGTGTTTGTTTAAAAAAGGGCTGTAATTGCACAGTGTATTACTGACAGGAATGTTTAAACTGATCAACAACTTTGCGTCTGTCATGGAGTCAGTTAAGATTTCAATGTGCTGGAGTCATGGAGTCAGCACTTCACTGTTTCGTTAATTAGCGCAGCAGTGTACATTCGGCTTATGTCACATGGTATCAACTGGTATCGGAATGTTGGTCTCTGTGAATTTTCATGATTACGAGTACGAGTAAATGAGCACGGTGTCGGACCGGTACCTGATGCCGGTATTAGTATTGATGCATCCCTAGTCTCAATTATTGAATACATACTCACCTCCAGATTCGGATGAGCTGGGTGCTTCCACACAAACCCAGGAAAAAGTTCACTGCAAAGAGTGCCCAGTTCTTCGGAATGATCACCAAGCAGTACCTTGACCAAATGAAGCCTGGAAGAGTACCATGGGGACGACAGTTGTCTTTTTGGTACTATATCTGCAACGTCTTGACAGGTTTTTACAGCTTTAAAAAGTAAAAATTCTAGGAATCATCTTGCTCTTTCTTGAAGGTTGCACTAAGGTTTCCTAATTCACATGTTTGCATACAAAATGGTTAAATGTTCCATTTTGACTTCTACTGCACTTTTTTGCTGGAATTCTTTTGCACTTTAGGGTGATGACAATTAATAAAATATTACAAAGTTACAGACCTAGAAACTGGGGGTTTGGTGTGTATTCATATATTACTGTCCAAAAAATCAGAGACCACCCACAAACAGAAAACATCAGACACTGCTATTTGTCACCACTGAGTTATAGTGTCACCTGTACTGCCAAAAATGGCAAATAAATGTGCTTCCATCAAGAGCAGTTGCCAGTAATTTTACAACAAAGTGGTTTATAAACTTTGCACAGCACCATTTCATTTGATTGCTTTTTTTCCTTCAACCGGTAGGTACTCGGGCACAAATCAAAGTGGCAAATCTGTGATACTACTGGTTGAGCTATTTAGGGGTGCAAGTTATGAAGTGCATGAACAGAAATACCAAAATGGCGCACAAAGCAGCTGATGTCCTATGAAGATGCCAGAATAGATCAGCACTGTGTAGAGTCAACTACAGTGATTTGCGTAATTCGTAGTAGGCGAAATTTTCTCAGGCAAACAAATTCATAAGAAATCAAGAGCATGAGAGCAAGGAGGAATGGAAATTCCTTCTGGTTACATATTTTGTATGACCGACAGGGGTCACAGGAGGCCATTGGCAGTCTCTGTTTACAGATTTGTTTCTTGGATTCAATTCAGGTTCTTTTTTTGGCCACATGAGCCTCGTGTATAACTAATAGTCCTAACTAAACATCAGGAACCTTAGTCAAGCTATAACTATTGAGACGTCACTGACTATAGGAACATGGGAAGACTTAAGTACCCTGATTTTCTGAAGTTTACACTTCAATAAACAGAAATAGTAGCGTACACAGACCGTGCAATAAGAAACTTGAGTCTTATACCCCCGACACACACACTCCCACATCCAGTATACAGTACTGTGTGAAAGTCAGAGATCAGCCTTCATTTATTTGATTTCTACTCAAAATGGATATTAAGAAAAAAGTTCCTAATTTTCAAGATGAGCAAAAAAGCATTACACATGTGGTGTTGGGGCGAACCCATGGGAAATAAAAGTGTGGAGGTGCTATGTCCCTTCACTCTCTTCTCCTCCTAAATGACCCGCTGTTAGTGTGTTTATGTCTGTGTGTGTGTGTGTATATGTTTGTATATGTGTGCGTGTTTGTGAGGGTGGACAACAAGGACAGGCTGATGACTGGCTACAGCTGCTAAAAGACAACCTTATGCTGGCCACTTCTGATATTTTATACATCTAGTATTTTTACATAAATTGTTATGGCTGTATTGATTTACAACCCCATTTCCAAAAAAGTTGGGATGCTGTGCAAAATGTCAATGAAAACAAAATGCAGTGATGTGCAAATCACTTAAACCCTATATTTATTCGAAAATAGTACAAAGACAACATATCAAATACTAAGAAATTTTATTGTTTTTTTTTTTCTTTAAATAAATGCCCATTTTGTGTTTGATGGCAGTAACATGTTCCAAAAAAGTTGGGTCAGGGGTATGTTTACCACTGTGTTGCATCACCTTTTCTTTTAACAACACCCTGTAAGCGTTTGGTAACTAAGAAGACCAACTGCTGTAGTTTTTAAAGTGAAACTTTTTCCATTCTTACTTGATATACAACATTTTTGGAACGTGTTGCTGGCATCAAATTCAAAATGGGCATGCATTTAAAAAAAATAATAATAATTTCTCAGTTTCAACATTTGATATGTTCTCCATGTACTATTTTCAAATAAATAGAGAGTTTAAGTGATTTGCACATCATTGCATTTTGTTTTCATTTTCATTTTACACAGCGTCATAACTTTTTTGGAAATGGGGTTGTAGAAAAACAATGTAGTCCACCAAACTCATTAAGTAACAAAAACATGAACACCACACATTGGCTAACAGAAAATTGCACCCAAGTCTCAGCAACTAAATATAATTTCAAGTGTTTCCATATTTAGTGTGTCCAGCCTTTAGTACAGCTTCCATTCTTTTTAGGAGGCTTGCTTTCAGTTTTTTAAAGAAATCAGCAGGATTTTTTTTCTACACCTCCTTTATTCAGTCTTAGAAGCTGGATGCATTTTCTGCTTCTTACAATCCAAGTAATCCCCAACACATTCAGTGATGTTGTGGTCTGGGCTCTGGGGTGGCCAGTCAAATGTTCTGAGAACACCAGCAGCTTGTTTTGCAAATCTTCTTCTTTTTTGTCTATTTCCTTTTCTCAGTAATGGCTTCTTGATAGCTACACACCCTCTCAGACTCATATTGCTGAGCTGTCTTCTCACAGAGGAAGAATGGACATAAAAACACGTGGATATTTTTTTGGATCTAAATCAAGAGTAGAGCTTGATTTTCTCCTCTCTCTCAAAGATGAAAGCTTTTAGTACTGTTTAGTACTGTTTATCTATTGGTGATTAATGGTGCAATACCTGGCAGTCCACCAGGTATTGCATGGTTGTTAGGAATCATGTTATCTCTGGAACCATTAATTTTTTTAAAAACCTTTTTTAACTTTTGGAAACGCCTCTTTTTCCCCAGTAATTTGCCTTTGACTTTCACCTTCAATGTGCAAGTGGATTATATCTAATTTCCTCAGAAATATCCCCTGAAAAATGAATGACTTGTACTTAAGAGCTGTTTTGACAGCAGTTTAAATAAGTGAAGGGTGGTCTCTGACAACTGCACATAACCGTACACCTTCTTGACCCAGTACCTGTGGCTGTGATGACACATGACTGGGAGACGCTCAGCTTTTCTGGTGGGCGGGTCAGATCAGAAAACCCGGCAACAACCAAACCCTGTGGAGAGATGAGGGATGGGTGGAAGACAGATTAACTATGTAAAGTAACCATGTATATATGTGTTTATTATTATGCATCACAATGTTTTTCTTCTCCACTGTTTACTACACCAATCACATAAACCCTACCAACCAATTAAGGTGAGTGCCGAATTATAGTTTAGACAGATGGATAATGCTAACACCTAATCTAGTGGTCTCCAACCCTGGTCCTGGAGAGCTACCCTCTAACAGAGCCTAGTTCCAACCACAATTTGCCACATCTGCTTCAGCCAATCAACCTGTTCCCAAGTCCCTGTTTGGCTGGATCAGATGTATTAGAGACTGCCAGGCATGGCGGTTAACTTGGGCTCTTCAGGCCACACATCATCATAGTGCAGTGTTTCTCGATTCTGGTCCTGGAGATCCACTGCCCTGCATTTTAGTGCTTTGCCTGCTTTAACACACCCACTTCAACTCACATACTGGTTGTTAATGAGCTGATTAGTTGGATGAGTGTTAGGAGCAGAGCAAACACTAAAAAGTGCAGGGCAGTGGGCCTCCAGGACCAGGGTTCAGAAACACTGCCATAGTAAGACAACAATAAGAGATGTAATAACAGCAAGTCCAGATCCAGGACAGCAGTAAGTTATTTACATTTTTCTGCATATACTGAATGCTTTCAGGTTCCTTTATTTGTATAACAGAATACTAATCTGTCCTCTGCTTCAGGAATGATTGACTAAGTACTGAGACACTGTCAGCTGCCTCTTCACAGCCATGCCAGTGATAAGAGCACTCCTGGTTTGGGACGGATCCAGCATCCATCTTATACTTCTCTGTATAAGATGATAAATTTCAGTGAAACTCTTCATATTTAGCACTTGGTTAATTATCCAGTTGTAACCTTTCTTTGAACTCAAGCAGCACATCATTGGAGCCCAAGTCCTATGGCACCTGGATCCATCTCAGCCTTATGTAGTTTCATAGTTGAGCTGGGAGTGGGGCTGTGCTGTCACAACAGGAAGATCCAAAACTTCATCCACAGCCTTTTTTTTCCTGCAATCCCAATATCACATTTATTTTTCCACCCATCAGCTTGGTCACATCTTGAATTCACATTGGCAAAGGGGTAGGCTCAGAGAGAGATTCAAAAAAGTAGCCAATGACCCTGGATCTGTTGACAAGCCAATGGGGGGTAAACTATACACCTTTTGCAGGCATGTGGTAGGTTCATCACATGGCGGTATGTATGTCATTTTCTGTACTGTGTGTATCCAGCTCTGTGTTAGCTTCCACAAGGAATATGATGAACCAGGTTCCAGCTCTAAAGCTACTGAGGCTTACAGCTTTCTCTGTCCCCATGGATCCTTAGCAAGTGCTTACAATACAGTGAAGAATCTTGGAGCAGTACAGGTTCAATCTATACCAGTGTTCCTCAAACCAGTCATAGAGGCCAACAAGACAGCCCCTGAGTACTGACTTCTGGAGAGTTTGTGGCTCTTGACAAAAAATAAAAAAATAAAAAACAAACCTGAAACTACCTTCTTAAAATCTAAGCATTATGAAGCCTTGTACATCCTTAAGTTCCTGGTCTTTGTGTGCAGTGTTTTGTCTTGGTTATTTGTTAATTTTGCAAATGTTATCCCAATAATAAAAGGCGTTTGGAAAATTAATTTCAGACTCTACACAAATATGCATGTGTGCTAAAAAAAAAAAAAAAATCAGTTTTAGTAATGACACTAGTAGTTAAACAGTTAATGGTATGTTGCATCATTACATTTTACTTGTACTAATGACATACCTCGTTCTTGCACCACTACAACTGCAATAACCCAGCTGATGCAAGTGCACTTTTCATGAACATTTCATAAAGGAAAAAGGGCAGAGGTTGTCTAAAACTGATGCAGTTACACTTTAACATCACTAAAGAAAGAGAAAGAGAGTGAGAGTGAGGGAGAGAGAGAGAAACGTTAAACATTAAAATTAAATAGCAGATTCATCTCACCCATTTAAAGACAGGAGCCCAGAAGAAAACCGTCTTTGGCCCTAAAAGAACAAAACAGAAATTCTTATTACAAATCTGTAGATCAGTGGCTTTCAACCTGTGGGCCGCAGTAGTACTGTGCTAGTTGGTACAATTTTTAAATTGGACTAATTTGAAAAAAGTAGAACAAGGCTGGGCCACCTACAAGTGAAACAGCCCCCAGTTTCAGACCAAGAAAACCAAGCATAAACTGAAACGAAGCAAATACACCAGTGAGTAGCAAGCTTTATCGCATCACAACAAAAATTAACAAACAAGCAGAATGTCTTCAGGTGACAAACATATTTTTCCTCCTCACAAAACAGGCAAACAATATCACTGGGTGGGCTACTTTCCATGTTGGAAATGTAAAAGGCAGGCAGAGAGGTTCACCACCTCATTCAAGAGCTAGAACTTTATGAGAGTTTTTGGTACAGTTAGGATGTCTGCAACACAATACGTGCCCCGTTTCAGCTGTGTTTGGAGATGTTAATACCATATGTGAGAAAGGAGAAGGAAAAAAATCTTTCCAAAGTTTAGCAATAGGTTTTAGTTGCTGGGCACAGCTGCTTTATCAGCTTGTCTGTCACTATGCCAACAGCAGAGACAACCGTGATTGGTCAGTGTGTTCTTGCTGCTGGGAAAAGAGGACAGGTGCTCGAATTAGTTTGTTGTCTGAAAAAACTGCATGAAAAATTTGCGTTTAGTGTGCAAAGGCCTTTAAGCTTGTCCGAGAACAGAAAACGCTATACGCCTTTTCAAATGAAGCTTTGAAGCCAAACAAATTATACCATCAACTGGAGGCTAAACATAGCAAACATGCCTCTAAATCTATAGAAATGAGCCACACCACACACACATTTATCAAGGGCTGACACTCTGCACTTGTTATTGTTTCACTTCAAATCCCATGTGTGGAGTGCAAAAAAAAAATTCCTTTGCTGGTAGGCCAGATTGGACAGTCTTTGGACTGTATTTTAAAACACGACACTACTGGAATGCAAATCGCTAGTGAGTAAGAATACGCTTGTTACAGATACATATCTTGAAGTTTCACTGATGGATGAGATATTGAAAACTGAGAGAATCAAAATATACATGAACAAAATGTCCTCTAAACACCAAAGAGTTCAAGAACATACTTATGTTGAAGATATTTAGATTGTGTTATTGGTTTCCCCTTCTAAAATGGGCACTAAAATCATTCATTTGTCACGGCTGAAATGTCAGGCTTCACTTTGGCCTCATCACTGTGTCACTTCAAGTAGCGAGTACAGAGCCAAAAAAATACTTTATATGTTCTCTTTTGGCCTTTCAGCTCAGTCAGCCCAAACGATTTACAGACTAATATTCCTTAAAATATAATGATGATTAAATTCATATGGGACTGATTTAGAATTTGTTTAGATTTAGATTTGATTATTTGTTGTCAGCTGGCATCTTCAAACACTGATTTCAAGGTAAACAATTGTTAATACAAACGTAATCTGCCGATAAACCATGTTGCGTTTGTCTCTTTGCTCAAAAGGTTTGGGACCAGTGTAGATAACCTAACTCTACTACAGGCCTTAAATGACAAAATTGACTCTAAATGGAAAACTGTTCAGGGGCAGTGTTGACGAAAATGAAAAGCAAGCACTTTGTAAATAAATGTTTTAATATAAATAGAATATATCTGCAGTTTTTGAAGGAATGGCCACTAGTATTTCATTCAAATGGTACTCAAGTGTAAGACTGAAAGGACAATTTATAGACACTGGAGGACTTTAGGTCACTCACTTGGCTCAGTAAACATCAACCAAATTTAAATAAGGCAATGAAAAACAAAAGTTCTTTTTTTGAAAAAAAAAAAGTCCAAAAGTTAATCCTGACAGTTTCCTCTAGTGTCCCACTGTCACAAATACTTATAATAAAGCCTACTATTCAAACAAGTATTAGCAAAAAAAATATTTTACAACCAAACAATTTCACTTGTGTTGCAGTGGACAGTCAACTCAATATGCTAATCAAAATGAGCTCACTCTTCATTACAGTGAATGGCAGCATGGCGCCAGGTGTAACCAAGGTGGTATTTTTCTAACTTTGAGAAAGGGAAGCCTTTAGAATCGCCATCAAAATTAATTTTTCATGTTCTTAATTTCCCATAACTTCTCAGACTTTATCACAGCTGAAGTGCACTGATTTTCTTGCTGAATGCAGTGCAACACCGTATTCACATCCTGAACGCCAGTCATAAATGAAAGAATAAACATAAGAACAGCTAAAGGGAGGAAATGCTCTTCTATATTTTGTGCAGTTGAAAAATATAGAATAAATGAAAAGTGCTTTGAATGGATATCAACAAAGATCCTAGTTTCACCCAAAAAGTGGGCGTGCCCGCAGATTTTGAAGCCGGCTCCAACCCCTCACATGATAAATGAGGTCACTTTGACGTTGAAAGCTAATTTAAGCTAATGAGCCTGAACCGTATAAACAGTGCGTCAAAAGGTGTAAACAAAACGGTTTAGTATCGACTTTATAAGGCCAACTCAATGTCGGCTCAAACTCTTAACCAGCAGTCTGCGGATGCTGCTGTAGACGATGATTTATGGTTCTTTGGAAAAGAGCGAAAGAGGATGTTGGCCTGCCTTTGTCTCAGACTCTTCATTTTGGCAAGAACCACAAAGAAGGCTAAATTGCACACCTCAAATTGTACAGAAAAGCATTAAAATTAGAAAGACATCTTTGAATAAATACGCCGTCGAACGCTACATTTAGCGCACAGATTAGCTACGTCTTCAGTACCCTTGTCAAAGTGAAAGTGGCAGGTTTGAAAACACAGTAACGTTAGTCATGGCATTAGCCGAAGATTTGGTTACCTGCTGGATGGTTGTACAGAGGTCTTAGTTTAGGCGGGAGCATTAGCTCGATCCTGTCCAGAGTCCTGTGGTATGTAGCCCTCAGACTGGCCGAATAATAACGGCGCGGCAGTCGAAGGCAGAGTTTGGTGCAGTTCATGGCGGTTTGATCGGTCTACCCTTGGACGTATTTTTGGAGAAGACCCGTTCATCCAGCAGTGCCGGGTCATATCTTCACACCATCTCTCCACCCTCCGGCACGACCTATCACAGTGCCCTCCTCAGTGTGCACACGCCCATAAAACCGCCACTGTTTAATCCGCGACACAGGGACACGTCGGTGCTGAGTGTCTACTGTTTCTCAAGGACAGCAGCTCATTAACCTGAGCGCTTTAGCCAACAGCAACAACGTCATAAAAAATTCTCACAAACGGCGAAACACGTTAAATAATATGGCGTACTGCTAAATACATCAGGGTTGAATTGCTGACAGTGTGTTGGTGAGGCTTCTTTTAAGATATCGTTTGCAGTGGGGCTACTTGATCATGTAGCTTCTTGTGAATGTCACCCTGGTCTCGACTGCGTGTCCTCCCCACTCCCCCTCCCCCTCCCCCTCCCCCTCCCCCCAGTAAAACACAGGCAGTCAATCAGGCGGAGTGGATGGATCAGTACAGTGACAACTGATTGAAAGATCAATATTAAAGCTTATTCACCCAGATTTATCTCAAAGTTGCTGCATAATTTCTTTGCCATATAAACAAAGCCAATCGGAGTGGTTTGATATGAAATGGCGCCTTATAGAGAAAATTACCAGTTTAGATTACTTTATGGCGAAAGGAGCCAGGTGGCAATCTCTACAGTGCCATATTATTTGCAATCCAAAACTGAACACATTTAAAATACAGTTAAGTTAAACCCAGAACTATCATGAAACAATGTTTCAGGTATCAGGCAAGATATTGGTAGCAATATCAAGTAATAGCCTTTGTGAGGTAGCTTTTAATGACGTTAAACGTTTCAGTCGTCTGATTCCTATCACCACCACTGTGAACAATTCTGACCCGGTAAGATTTTCTAAAATGACGCATTTCACTTCAAACAACTCTGAATGACTTTATTTACATCTTAACCACCAGGTCTTCACACAAATTGTACCAATGCTAGTCCAGCAGATGGCGGTGTTGCATCTAGAACGTGCTGCCGCTTTGGTCTTCCGCCTGTGCGAGCTGGGTAAGAGGAGGAAGTAAAATCTGGGTAAAACCCAAGTAAAAACTTCGGGGAGCAGAGGGGCGGACGAATATTGATAATGTAAGTATATTGGATTGTACAGCCGCCGACCAAACGTTTCATTCACCGACGCAGAGGCGAGTTTTATCTGCGCATACACAGACTGCTGTAGCTAAAACTCTTGCGTTTTAAGAGTTTGGCTTTTAAAAGTGGCCAGAGAAGTGGTTTCCAAACGCGTTTGGGGATACGTCGAATGACCTACAGATATCCTGGGGGTAATCGGCAGGTGTTGTGCAGATTTTCGACTCGCATTCAGAATCCGACTTCCCTTCGCGTTCACGCGCGTCAGGCAAGGCATATGGACCCTAACCTACAGATTACAATCACGATTTTCAGTAAAACGGTTTATCTTTAATTTTGCTTAACAGTAAGCACCAGAACAGGACCTAAAGCCAAATAGAGAGTCTCACAATGATAGTTTTATTGAATGTAACGAACTAAGACTTCTCTTTTCTCGTCCTTATTGGACAAAGCCACTTTCACTGCTCTTTGAAAGACAATTCAGAGATGTCATGTTGAACAAATTTACCCTAAGTTGTATATAATTAGCTAAGTGATATAGCTAGGACAAATGTAGAGTGCTTATCAAGTTATAAACATGCACACACTGTGCTGCATGAACAGTTGTTGACTTTTTTTGATTTATTTAATTTTCTAATTAATTATTTTTTTTTAATATGGCAGTAATGATTAATTTTGTTTTAATGTTAGCAGATTTTACATAGGCAGAGGGAGTTTTAAAACCTACCAAAATTATACCCCCCGGGGGTGCAAGGTCGACCTGATTCACATCAAACTTATTCTGGTGACTTACCTTTGTGTGTAGGCACCAATTAAAGCACATGTCTAAGTTCAACAGGGAAGACTTAATCAGAGTATAATGTTGGCTATGCTATTTTGACACCAGTCAATTTGTACTTCCCCCATGGTCTGCAATGTCAGATCCACTTCAAATGTATTTTGGGAGCACGTTTTGTTTTTTTTTAGATGTTGCCCTGAAAAATTCAGTTGCACTGCTGTGTGTGAATGAACTGAGTATCTTTTACTAACTGTTGTTAAGACCTGTATGATACAGTCGTGTACTTGGGTTAGTTTTACTTTCACAGAAAAGTAGCTGTTGTGTTTAGTGCTTAACCATCAGCATTTTATTTACGTGTTTACACAATAAACTATTAAAATTTTTTATGATACTACACATGAGCTAAACATCCAGCAAAGTTTAAATGAAAGATAGAAGACATACATATGATAAAACATGGCTTAAAATCAGGCCTGATCAGTCCTATCTGAGAACTGTGTGGGCATGGCTAAGGTTGATTGACAGCTTGATTGACAGCTATCTGTCCAGCACTTCTAGCCTGCCCCGCCACTCATACAGAACTAAAACCTGTCCAGCTTGTATGTGACGGTATTTGGACGAAAAAAGTCACGACAAACAGGTATGCGTATGTATATGTGTTGGTGCATAATGTGTATGTAAGTTTGGGAACCACTACAGAAACTAATGTAGGCTAAACCTGCGGTGCTTCACCAGTCACATAGATCCAACACACCGACCCAAGCCTTACTCACCTCATGCATTGTAAAAAGCCAATAAAGTAGTATGTTGTGGAAAGCGAGACTGATGCTGTAATAATGGGAAGGATTGCAGTGTATTGCTATTGCTGTCAGTAATCAAAATTACATAGTGGGTATAATAAATAGGAATATAATGTGTCATGATATGGAATTTACAATATTGTGGATACAGATATGTCATTGGACTGTACAGCTAAAGGGAGAAACACCAGCAATCTTTTCACCAGAGAAAACCCTGTATGGGAATATGGAGAAGCTACTAGAGTACGAGCAACAACAAGCATTATGCAGTAAAGAAAAGAAAGCTTTACAGTTGCATGTCTTACTTTGCTATGTTTTATAGGGCAAATTTAAACCTTGTATTATTTATTAATAATTAAAATAACTTTACATGTTATGCTTCATTTTTTATTTTTTTAGGGTATATCATAGATCATATATTATCATAGACAGAATAAATGAATGAAGAATACATTTCAGTTTATATCACCCACCTTTATGTACCTAGTCATTGTTCATTGTTTTTACCTGTGAAGTTGTGAAGTGCATAATTTATAGTTGGTGTTATGACCATATTAGGAACTCTGACTCTAAACAAATTTCTCTAAGGAACATTGTATTCAACAATTGCTGCTATCATGCCCTGTGGTAAACAAAAATGTTATGAAGCCATTTTCCTCTGACTGTCCCTGGATATTCTAAATTATGAGGTTGTTAAGGCCTCAATATATGAATATTGCTACATGCTGATCTGATAAGACTTGTAACCTCAGCAAAATAAACCAGAAAGTGCTGTCAAATATGATAGTGAAGTGACTTTGGCAGCAGGCGCAGGCTTTGTATGAGGCAAAGATAAGCAGCTGTCTGTTGACCCCCCTGAGCCAAGGGCCTGATGAAAATGCAGATTAGATATGTATTGATGTTAAACAGCCTACTCTAAAATGTACATGCATTTAAAAATGCTGTTATTTGCTATCATAGTGATTATTTTCTGTCATTATGATTCTTTTTAAGGATAGCTTCCAGCTCCCCCTGCGACCCTGAAGAATAAGCAGCTGTGTGTGTGTGTGCGTGCGTATGTGTGTGGGATTCTTTTTAGCCCCACCCCAAGTCATGGTTGTAATGGACTACTCCCTGCTGTCACTTGATCCTGCCTCCTTTAGTTACAGTTGCTATATGTCAAATTTTCAGCTCTGACTACCTGGCTTTAGTAGCACAAAGGAAAGAATAAAAGTACAAAGAGGTAAATTTGAAATATTTTATAAAAAAAAAACTGGCTTTACAAGATGTTCAGTGGAGACGTACATGTTAATTGGCCAGTCAAAATAAAAAGTGAATCCTGGAAACCATGTTTACATTAATCAAACCAGGAAAACTAACTGAGGCAAGTCAGTTTGACTCAACCACTAAAGGACCCTGTAATTCAGAGTATATTTAGTCAGGTGAAAGAAATTACACAGGACAAGACCATATTGGGTTTGGAACATTTTTACTGACCACATGATGTGACAGTATGCTTTTTCCCTGAAGAGAAAAGAGACTTGACAGGAGATTTCCAGTATGGGCATGATGCCGACTATAGAATGACACATGACTTCTTCAGAGCTCTGTTGTTATTGCTGTGTTTGACTAATGCAAAATGTTGTGAATTTCCTCTTCCTTTGTGGGTTTACTTGATTGTCCATGCCACATCAATTACAATAAATGACATTTATGTATTCCTCATCATTTACTTTTAAGCACAATTTGTAAATTAAAAAAAAATTGTAGCATAAAAAATGCTTACTTTTCAGGAAGTTCGTTTCATTTCCAGTTTCATTGCTATGTAATAATGTAGTGCAATATTATCAATAATCTCAAAAAATATTGTGCTGAATATTTTTAGATGTCATTTAGGCCTCACTGGAAAACTGCAGCATACAAAGTAAAGAATATGCTGCTTGAATGTCTTATCCCAGAAATCCCTATATAGATGCTAGCAGAAAGTTAGCATTATCGTAGGGGTGGTACTTGGGTTACTTATAAAATTAAGATTTCTGCATTAAACACTGCTATATATATATATATATATATATATATATATATATATATATATATATATGATATCTGGCTCTGACATGTTCATGAAATAAATCCCCCAATGTGGCATTAAAGATTTGTCGAGGATTTGTCAAGTCTTCTTTTTATTATAACATTGTTGAATCTTTGAAAGGCTCCACATACTATGCTGTTTTACAGTTAGACATATTTTTATTGTTTGGTGAATGCCGACAGTGACAGCCCTAATCCGTCTTTTTTGTGTGTGTGGACTGGTTTACAAGTGGTCTGATTATGCAGCGATTCCTCTCAGCATTTCTGTTGTAGTACTTATTTCCCCGTACCAAGCATGGCAAG